ATCTTTGAATGCAGCACGGAGCAGATGGTGAATTCGCACGCAAAACAACGGGTCAAAATTAGCGAATGGCCTCGTGTATGTATGGAATTTACCTCATTTCACCAAACCAATTATCACTCGTGATTGGTTTGAAAACCACGTCTACAAGAACGTCGATCGCAAACAATCATGGCCGACACTCGAGGAACTAGTCCGCCAATGAAAAATCATGACCCAAATATCGTGGAAACAAAAAGGTGTCGTGTACTATGACCTCTTCTTCTTTTAATGAACTAATCGATAGGAATTGCTAGATTAGGAGGCATTCGTAGAACAACAACAACCAGAGTTGGCAAACCTGAATGAAATCGTGTTCCATTAAGGCGATGCAAGGCGTTGGAGATTGATCGCTACGAGGCGTCGCATCCCTTGATCAACTCATCCTTGTTTTCAAATCGGCGCAGTTAAACATTTCTGGTGACGTTCCGAATGTGTTCGAAGTGTCATGCCCCCTTTATAGCTAAGGCGTGTCGCACCACACGATTGTTGTGTACTTCGACGCTTGCAAACGACCGAATGACACACTTGTCACCAATAACGAGCTGAAACTTCAAGCTGTTCAGTAACTGAGTCGTTCAGGACCACAACACGCCTACGGGCATCGCCTGAATAGCCAAGTGGGCTCATGTCATATGGCCTGGCTAATTAATTACTTCGTGAATTTGATCTCCAGTAAGTTGAACGCAATTCTGGCACATTGGATCGAAGTAAGGCATACAAGCGCACACAAGCGTGACGAGAAAAAGTTCACTTTTGCGTAATTGACACACACGCACACACACACACACAAAACGCGTTAATGTCGTTTTACTGCACTAAAGACGCATAATTGTGCGTGTGTGTGGCGCCAAAACAGGTAGCAACTAACTACAACAGTGGGGTTTCTCGATAGTTCAAAAAGACGTCCCCCAGCTGGATTGGTAGGTTGGTGGTGTGAGAGGCAGAGCATTCGTTGGATTCATTGCAATGCCAGATGCACCCTACTCATCCAACAATCGTGAAGTAAGGCATGAAGGGGGATCAACAGATTTGCCAACCAGATCAGCAGCCAATTAAATTCACACAACCATGTCGACAAAAATACCCACCCGCTATACAACGCGGAAGCCTCCCTGTCAATGTCGCCAAAATCGCTTTCGCTACTTGATCGACTCCTGCCTTCAGTGGAGAGATGTTTTCGCACTCTGTACGGGAGTTTCTCCATATCCTCGTCATCGTCTGAGGTCGAGATGGACGAGGAAGAGGTAGAACACCTGGACGGAGTTCGCAACCTCCCTGACGTCTCTATCTCCATCATCTCCGGATGAGACGACCGTGAGGAGCGCTTGGTGGCGACGATTTCTGGCTTGGGAGTGGTTGGAGGCGGCTGGGGGGAAGTGGTGCCGGCAGCAGCAGTGGATCTGGCCCCATCTTCTTCGGAGATCCGACCAAGAAGGGGTCCAGCAATTCCTGAACCCACGGGGTTGTTGGTGCGCGCGCGATGCCGACGCTGTCGGTTGAGGTTGATGCGAAGCATCGCGCCGTCCATGTAGGCGTCTTGGATTGGAGTCGACACGGCACCCTCGCCGCAACCTCTAAACGGGGGAACATTTTGCGTGTTTTGAAGGAGGTGCAGGCAAAATCAGTCTCAGAGAGGCATTCATTCCGTCTTACAACAAAAACGGGTTCAGGCTAACGCTCATAAAGCAAAGCAGGGTAAACACGTCACCAACACACAATGAGATAGTGCAGCTTGGTTAAAAGACACGGCGGAGAACCCACAAGTGTAGTTTACATTTGAAGTAACTAATGACAACCACAGTTTGAGCTAGAGATAGTCTAAGCCGCACGCATCCGTTAATCCATAGCTGGCTTTGTTGTGGCCATTTTAAACCAGATAAACATCGAGAAAGAAGCTATGTTAGCCGAATAAGAGGTGGATTTGACAGCGAGGTGGGGAATCTCAACACTGTCCATCAAGTTGGCCTTAATCCCCGCGTTCTTTTTAACGAAAAACATGAACGCCCACAGGGATCCATGAATGGCATCTACGATTGGGACGGCCCGAAGGCACAGATTCTGCATCTTGCTAGTTACTCAATGCACGCCACAGTGTCGAAGCGTGGAGTACTGATAACCCGTTGAAACGGTATTCACCGAATGCCAACAAATGCCGCGGTTTCGGAAAGTTTAAATGAACACACTTCAAACCACTCACCGCCACGAGATTCGCGGATGCATGACGCGATGTCAACTTCCACAATAAACACAAACACGCTAATCTATGATTGGCTGGTGGCTTATCCAGGTAAGTTTTCAAGATTATTGAACATGTGATAGATTTCCTCGCAAAAATTACCTCACACACACGCATACACACTTTCCAGTAACTAAAATGTTATTGTCGCAAGATCGACCTTTGTCATCCAAACACTTAGCGCGCGCGCGTACACACACACAAAGTCAATAGTACTGCTAGCCGAGAGCACCAATCAGCGTGTGGTTGCGCGTAATTCAACTAGACTGAGGTCATTTTTGCGAAATTCGCCCGATAACACCCCGAGAAGGACACCCGTCGCCCTACCAACGAGTCAAGCGCAGTGCAAACAGATAAAGAGATTGGGTTATAGCTGAGAAAAGCCCAAAGCGCCACCAATCATCACTGCAGTCACAGCAAGTCCACAAAGTGGTACAGAAGTGACAAATGCTCGCCTGTAATCCGTTATACCTCCTTCTTTTCACTAATTGAGCCACCCGCACCGCAAGTAGCAGAAAAGGGATGTAAACAACGGCTTACCGGTTGGCGGGGGGTGACCCAGGAGAGGCGGAGGCTGGCGTGGCGTCTCCGGAGGCGACGGTGGCACCGCGATCGGCAACGACCGCGGGTGAAGCAGTCGGACGACGAATGCCTCCACCGCCGAAGGGGAACCCGGGGCCGGCGTTCAACTTGGCCGCCAATTCATTCTACACAGCGAAGGAATTTGGTTTGAGCACGGAAACGGCGCTAGTGACAAGTCCACAACCGACACGTTCGTTCCATTGGTCAGGACTATATTGCATGTCACTTGATCGATACCGGTTCAAAGTGGTGGTGGCGGCTGCGCTAATACTAAATTTCAGTCAACATTGCACTATATTGCAGTGGCAATTACGACAAAACGGGGCGAGAGCGGCATAGCTGCGTGATTGACAAAGGCACGATAACCCATATATGGAGGAGAGCTTAAAGTCGCGTCACAATGTGAAATTCACTTCGTGATCGGCACACCGAGTCCCAGTTTGTGTGATTTAGGTCTAATTGTTATCCGGCGAGAGGGGGAGAAAGAACAGTGCTGAGTTACAATAACAACAAAAGCAGGTTGCTGGGGCAAAGCATTATCGACTTGAACACAAACAACACGGGATGGCACATTACACGCACACAGCAGGTAGAGAGGCAGGTGGTAATTTTTAACTTTGCATCGAGAAAACCCAACTAACGAGACTCAGTCTTAGAGGGAAGGATCGAATGCAGGAGGTTCGGCTTTCGTTGGACCCCCAAAAATGACCCAACGATGCTGACTTTGGTGTTTCTCGCTTCCTAAAACCTGATCGGTGGCAGAATAAAAGGTATTCCGGAAAAATAATGACAAAAAACCACGGAGAGAGCTTCTTAATTGGTAACAAAAAATGCCTTGGAGTGGTACCTACGGGGGTCAAAACATTCGCCGCAAATACGCCCAATGCTCTGGGTCCCTCGGCTACGATAAGCCCAATCAGAAACCATCTGGGTTCACGCGAAAGTGGCATTACATCAACTCGCTTGTCGCAAGGCTATAAAAACGACCGGAATTCGCAAAAAAAGTTGTTACTCGAGTACACAATGGATTTAAATCCATGAATTGTAAGCAAAATGTTAATTTTACGCTACAAAACGGGGAAAAAATCTGTCGCCAAACAATCGCACACCGTTAACAGCATCGATATCGCAATATTCAACACGCTAATTTCGAAAAGTGCGAGAAAAATCACGTGCTGCGGAGTGAGTTGAGGTCGCTAGAGATGGTTTTTGTTCTAAATGGCAAATTTGTGATCAGTTTGAGATATTTCTTTTAAGCCATCGATAGAGTCGGTGTAGACAAGGCAACAGAGCGACCCAAATCGACTTAGGCACTTTTAAATACGAAAACAGTGGAAGGAGAAATGGAATGCAAAGAGAGAGGAAAGGCTCGTACGTCTTACCCTGAAATCGGCATTCATAATCCTGAGCGTGGTTGATGATGTTTGTGATTACAATTGGATGAATGAGCGTGAGTTTAACGGAGGAGAGGAGAGACGCGCACAAAGGGAGCAGGCATATCAGCACACAGGCACGCACACCAATGCACCAAGACAACGACGGCGACAGCGGCGGCGACGACGACGACAACAACGCCACGTCGTTGGCTAACACACACACGGAGACGCGAGCAGTAGCTGAATAGCACGTTCACTCACACACACACACACGCACACGTGCGCACGACACGCCTCACCGCGATTCGATTAGCAGGTGGTGCGCACGTGCGTGCACACCCGTGCGGACAGACACACACACACGCGCGCGCGAGAGAGAGAAGGGTGTGCGACAGACAGGCGAACCCGCGCGCGCGCGCGCACGCGCACGCACTGGCAATCAATTGAGTCAGCTGTGAGGCGTGGCGAATCAGCTGTTTGTGCGGGGGGAGGCGTGTGCACCTTCACTGGGTCGTCTCCGCCCTCCCATCCACGTCAGGACAGACCCATTCCCCCGTACCATTGATTAATTTTCGATCGTGGACTCTCATGATAACATTCACCTAGGTCTCGATGTTAACACATCTACGATTCACACATTTGAGTTATAAATACACACGAGTCTAGTAAGGTAATGGACAATCAACGCCCGTAGTATCCCCTAATCAATTCAATGCCAAACTTCGAGAGCTGACGTGGCGGCGAATCCACGCTTGAGGACACATGGTTGCCTGGGGAGGACGAGCAGCAAAAACAAAACAAAACCGTTTACTAATACAAAATAAGTAGCACTTGATAAATTCAATTGGTTCTGGGGCACAACGAGAAGAGTGCAAATCAAACCTTTAGTAATCTCGCATCTAAACTCAGTAAAAAATAGTACCGAAGACGCTCAAAAGCCTCGTTTCGTGTAAGCCAAAGGAGCTATCCCGAAAAACACAAAAAAGGATCAATTTGAAGAGAATTGCAGGGGGAAGTGCAGGCCCTTCAACAACTCAACAACAGCGATAGATACCACAGGCACACCGTTTAAACGAGGTGAGGGCAAAAAAAGAGCCCAGCGCTTGTGACAACGTTTCAAAGTTCACAAGCGACGAGACAGTGAAAAAAAACATCACTAGGCACCTGCAGACAAAAAAGTAAGATGGGAACATGCAACACAGTCACGCGAGAAAGAGGCTGTTTAAACACCAAAGAGAGAATGATGTTACCCTCCCGCCACCTGATTTTTTTCCTCGCAATTGATATTAAAAGCCCAGAGCTTGAACGGCCTGGGTACTACTTTAAACCTCACACAATAAACACGGACGCGCACACATCCGATCAGGCGCAAAATCTAACCAATCAACACACTTTGACCTTGAAGTAGCCAATACACTCGCGGCCCCGACAATGGACACAATCGACCAATGAAAGACCGTGGAAGCCTCATGAAGGACGGGAATGGCCTTGAAAAGTCAGCCGTTTTGTAAAAAGAATCCTGACATTACGCTACAAATAGTGACACTTAATCAATAAAAAAAATATATTTTTGATGACAATTTCCAACACAGCTGACAGCTTCATGATTTAACGATCAGTGGACATCTCAGGCCCTTATGAGTCTTCGTTTTTCCTTGATTGCTTCTTCGGAAGTATACCTCCGAGTTCATGACACCTTCGTCGTGGTTCCACGAATTCCGGAACAAGATCTTCGGCTTGTTGCGCCTATGCAACCTTAAATGCGATTTGGATCGGTTCATCATGCTTGGACCACAATGCCATTTCAGACCGATGCTACTATTGTAGATGTTCCTGCAAAATCAATCACTAATGATGATGGGTTTCAGGAACGAGAAGACTTCGAAACAATTTAAGGACATGTTGGCGATGTGCAACTGATCAAGGTCGGATTCACTTCAGGCATTGAATTGGTCGTCAACATGTTCACTAGATGAAATTGGAATAGATCAGCTCCACAACAGAATCACAGAACCAATTCTAACGCGCGTCTTCGGTAGTTCAACCACTTGGATAGAAAACAAGCAGCAAGTGTCGAAATCGCTCGTTCTAGGCCCTAAACTCACAGCTGCAGAAAAATTCAGTGCGCAATTTGTTCCTAACGTAAATCTAGCAGTGGCTTTTATCAAATTTCAACGGACGAAACGGTCAAAAGTCTTTTAACACCACCGCACAGCGGCACGCAGTCATGGCAACCAAGGTTATCCCTTACAAAGCCAATGAACACACACACACAGAGCTACCAACAACTCACCCGAAAACACGACGAAGACGGGGGTGGCGTGCGTTCGATGAGATTCCCCACGGACGTCGAAAGAGTCCCGCTTAGTTGCCAATTTCCCTCGGCCGCGTCATTCGCTGCTCTGGAAGGAAGAACAAGCACAGTGGGTGACAGGAGCAGCAGTAGAAGGTGGTACGCGGCACGATAGATAAGTCAAGTCACGCGTCCTAACCGTAGTTTACACATGACACTAAAGGTTGGCCACTTGTGTTCGGACAATATGCTTCGTGGACACGCAATAGGTATGCTTTGTCCCGAAAGTGGACAAACCGCGTCCAAGAATCAGGCAAAGAGGAAATGCGCTGCAGAACACACACACACGCAGAGGATGCAATTCGGCGTTGTAGGGGGGGAACAGAGGCGACACTGAGGCTCATTTCGACGACACGAGCGAACGAGAGGAGTGGATATACGGAATGGATGGAACGAAAAAGGAAAGCTCAGCCACGAGACGCCAAAGTAAACAAAATACACACACACACGGTTGTTTTAATGAGCTTGCGCCACTCGAACCACCACACACGTGCCCCAACGACCTGCTCGATTAGCATTTGTGTGAGGCGGAGGTGGGACTAACTGCATGCGCGATGTTCACAGGGACGAAGTCGGTGAGTATGCAAATTAGACGGTGGCGAGTGTTGGAAAGAGAGGAAATTCGGCAATAGCGCTCAGATAGGATCATGTTAGTGTCGAGGTCATGCGTTTGTTCTTTGGTGTTATTCGATGTACAGTTTAGGATCAAAAACGAACGGTTTTTACACTCGTAGATTGCTTATTTCCTAAGACGTGAGAAAGCAATCGGTCAAGGCTGGTGCAAAATGATGTGTGGCGTGGTTGGTGATGGTTGAAAGAACATACGTGTCAAAAAATGATCCTGTGTGATTCTAGTGTAAGGACTTTTCGTTCAAATTTGACCAGCGTTGTTCTGATTGACCTAGTGAACTTGCTGACGCACACATCAAGGTCATGGTTGAACTCGATCGTGATCAGACAGCTGAACAGGACTGTGCAGAGGTTGTCGCATGTATCACAGCAGCCAACAACAATTGCACATGGCCTGCTTCGAACCACAACTAAGCAATAATTGCGATTTGCGTCAATCACGAGTGGCTGGTGTGGAAGGAACATGTACAACAGCACTAATTGAAAACCATCGTGGCCCAAATATGATAAACCAGTCAAGACCACATTGAAAGTTGCTGAATTGCACCAAACAGAAATTTATGCCTCAAAATCCGTGGAACCACGAAGGTGTCACGTACTTGGAGGCCCACCTCCAACAAACCAAACGGTCGGTTTACGTTTTCGCTGAGTAGAACAAGAAAATCTATTAGCGGAAACAAAGTGTTTCCCAAAAGGAAGCAAACAATACTGAAGAAAAATCGCTTTTTTTCACACCAAAACCCGTACGTAATCCCTCGCTAGCCAATCGTAGATCTCGTATACACCTGACATTTCATATAAAAATAGCTATGACGGAAGGAGAGATTACAGGTTGTCAAAATGGCACAAAACGGGAATGAAAATCAGGTTACAATTCAAAAATACGTTCACGGTGGCCAATGAGATTCGCGCTCACTGAAATTCCAGGTGTACAGATAATTTGGAGGTGACTAAAGCCACTTAAGACATCGCCAAATCATCCTATTGCCTCTCAAAACACTCCACTATAAGCTGAATGCAATGGGCACATTGCCTTCCACTGTCATCTTGACCAATCAAGCGAAGGTTTGGCAACCGGCCAATCAACAGTCGAATAAAACCGCTTAGGGGAATAGGATTGGGTATCCAATTAACAGAAAGAAAACAACTATTGGACGAAATCAATAGCCAATGCTAGCTCAACCACGTCAAGACGATTAGAGGGTTTTTGGAAAAAGCACATCGAGCGGAACCGACAATCGAGGTCAGTTTCGGAGCCAAATTACAGCGAGTGTAAAGTCGGTGAGGCAGGTGGTAACAACCAATTTAAGGCGGATGACTCAGCCGCTGTCGTACAAAAAGGCGAGAGGAGCCGCCACTGGCGACGGCACGTCGAATGAAGAGCGAAAAAACAACGGTTTGGGACACGGATCATATCACCAAGATTTGTATTTAAAAAAAAAGAAATTGCCGACCTACTGGAGGTGCTGGCGGCAGGGTTCGATAGCGCATAGAAGACGGTCAAGGTCACTTCCGTAAGGCCTAATCAAATGTCCTGCGGCGTCCTTGACGGGAGCCGACAGAAAACCGAGATTGGTAGGGGGAAAACCTTACACATTCCGTGTCTTCCACGCTTGCCAAACCAACCATGGCAAACGCAGCGCAATCCCAGTCTCTAACATGCTGCAATTTCACACCAAATAAACTTGGAAGACAGCAAGACGTGAATGTCGGGAGATGAAAAATGGGAGTCCGGGCACTGTGTGCGTGTGTAGCTGCAATTTTGGCTGCAGTCAATGCCGCCATGGGGCTGATCATGCGCAGCTTAGCCACGACATGGACCAAAGATAGGTACTACAACGGTTTGTGAAGGATATTTTTTAAAGGAAATAAATTTAAAGTGGTAGAACGCCACCCAGACGAAGCGGAGAAGGTAAATGTGAACACGGGAAAAGAACCGGGGTAACCCAACACCGTCCGAAGGGTCTGGGCCCGGGAATGACTCAGAGCGGTGACGTGGATGAAATAAGAGGCCCCAGTCGGAAGAAAAGAAGTGAAGAAGACAGATTTTTTTTCAACAAACAGGAGTGTACCTGCGTTTGAACGTGTAACATCACTTTCAAACAAAAAGAGTGCGTTAAGGACCTGAGACGATGGAAGAAATCGAGGCGTCATGCGCCCGCTGAAGTTGGGGAAAACAGAAGAAGCTGGTTAGTGGCTGAAGAGGAGTTTTAGGGATCCAAGGTAGTACCATCACGAAATTCGCCCTTTCAACGTCAACACGAACTGATTACTACACGAATGTGTAAATCGTGAATCCTAGGTACAAGGCAAATTTGTTTCCTTAACCGATTACCAACGTCCTGGTGCGACAAATCTGGTACAAGCGACGATGAAATGCCAGTTTTGTCAATCAAACAATCAAAATCGTCGGCATTTGTGACGAGCGAAAAATCAAAGTCGCATCGACAACCAGGCTGGAGGCTGATGAAGATGTTAGCCAATCACAAGTCGACTGGACGGTGCGATTTTTGTGAATGCAAACACTTCGAGTGGGGTGCTTAGTGCGAAGGCAAACAATCGCCATTAACTGTGTGTGTGTGTGCATTATTACAAATTTTTAGACGAATAAACAAACGGATACTCGAACGCCTAGAGAACATTAGGATCAGTGTTGGCAATATGCCGGTTGATGTTGCATGTACGATTCCTCGTCCCATTTCAGTAACGTAAAAAAATAACGTGTCAGGGAAGATCGAATGAACACATTCTTCGTGAGACGACTCAAATGATTGGCTAAAAAAGACGCCGCTGATTGGTCGATTGCAAGATCAAACGATGATAGGAACAAACCGCGCCAATTAATTACTCCTCAAGCGACGCGAATGGGCACGCTTCAACTCCCAAAGATTATGCGAATGGATACGATCTCGACGAAAATCAGGCGCCTACACCAATTCACTTAGCATAGTTTCCCGCTAAATCGTCGACGCGTGATCGAACAGGGCTGTATTTCCTTGATACCGGCCGGACTAATCCGCGTTACCAAGCCATATTTGGAAACTTTTCAGCAAACAAAAAACCATTACTTCTACGACTCTCGGAAAACAAGGCTCGTGTATTAAACATTGATTCACCAAGAGCGGATAATGGCGCAAATGTGTAAAGTGGCAAGTACGTAAGCGTCACAGGAAACTCTTCTCACAGAGTGGACAGTTTCAAATTGGCGCTCAATCAGAGAATGGGGGATTAGTAAAACGATAATTAATGAAATATATATATAAAAAACATTCCACAGGTATACTAAGAGAGTATGGCAGTTTATGACTGTAGATTTACCAAGGAGGTGATTTCCTGCGTCGTTTTCGGAGATATTCGAAGCGTATCCGTGCTAACGCCATAATGAACTGAGGCTCGTTCGACGATCAACACGTGGAGAAAGTGTGTTTGTGTGCTTGTGAGATGGGGGAATGGAATCAGGTGGGCTGTCCTGTGCCAAAAGTGCACTTTGGTATCACGAAGGGAGAAAAACACGACTGACCTCCACTGCAGCCCGCACGCTCGCACACACCACATTTCCAAGGCCATTAAACTGAGTGTTTAGCTTGGAACCGGACAGCGAAAGTAGCAAAATGCCAAACACTTTAAGGGCCAACTTCAAAAACTCCCAACAAATGCATTTACTTGGTGTTGAAAATCAGTAACTGGCCAAATTCAAGCGATGTTGAAGAAAGCAAAGCAATAAGAGCGAACGTCACACAAAATCGGGTTTACTAGTAAAGCGAAGTAGTGGCTACAGGAGACAGCGACCATCGTTAAATCCGGCGAATCGAAATCGCATCCATCCGGGATTAAGACATTGATCGACGCTAAAAGGTAAAACGTGCACGCGGCCGAAAAACGTAGGCCTCATTTGCCAGAGGCTCACGTCTAACGCGTACAATAATGGTACGAATAGGATCACCTCCAGGACTCAACACACAACTTTGGAGAACCAGAATTTGACTGGTGTTTCCTGAGGATACTTAAGATGAATCTGTGAGGGAATTCGGCCCTCGTGAGATGGCATCGGATTGTACGGGAGTGAAGCGAATGCGTGACAGAATTCCGGAATGTGTTTTCTTGGTGTTAATCCAAGTAAACGATACAGACGCCTTGGTGAACACCACTTTTCCAAAATGCAATAACATGTAAAAAGGATGTGTGCACAATAAATCCTAATCGCCGTTACACACATAACTTAAAAAGTGCAATAATTACACTACTTAGACACGAAGTAAAAGATGGTAACCACTTTTTTTTATCATCGAGAGTATGAAAGAAAAGAAGAGCAGCTAGAGGGGTGGTCAAACGTCAACCAATTGTTAACACATTACAATGAGAAGTTAGGTGGTCAAGGGATCAGTCACACGCAAGACGCTGCTAGTAAATATACTGGGTCGGGAACTTGTACCAACACCGAAGTGGCGGGCGGGCGGGC